GCAGGCAGAATACTCCCCAGGACCTTGGGCTGGAAGGGAACACAGCAGCTGGGCCAGTGTTGCTGGCACAGTTGATGGAAGGTGGGCAGCGGAGATAATGGAGTGGAGAAGCATGCTGGGCCAGGCCACCAAGGAGGCTGGTGTGAAGGCCCTGCGTGGTTAGGCTCCCGCCCAAGACAGGTGCCTGGCCCAAGCCCAGCTTCTCAAATCGGTGTGGGGACGGAGGGTATCTATAGGGACAGCCCTCCAGGGCATGTGAGTGTGTGCGTGTGCGTGCCTGTGTGTGTGTGAGGAGGTGATGCTCTTAGTGCACACTCACGCCCACCCACACCCCCAGGATCACACCCCAGTGTGCGTTCCCACAGTGCTTAGAGTGGGTCGGGCAGGCGATGTGGGTCACAAACGGGGCCATGACTGTGGAACTGGTCCCTTCTGGGCTGACCTCCTTAGTGCCCAAGGCTGCCAGCGACCTGCTGGCCCCAGATTTAGATGGCGTGAAGAACAGCAGCTGCCCAAACCCTGAGAAGGTGGCAAGGGCCATTTTCCCAGAAATAGGAGGAGAAAAGACACAAGGACTTCTCCCTGGCCCCTCTCCCCCTCTGCCCCCAAGGGCTGGGAGTCACAGGACAGATGAGGCCCCTGGCACCTGGGAGCTGATCCCGACGGCCTTGGGACTTTCCCTCTCCCTTGGCCACACTCGGCCACTCCAGTGGTCCCCATCTCCCGGTGCAGCCCGGGGACTGGGCCCTTTCTGGCCAAGAGCAGGTCCGGATTTCCTACGAGGGGAGGGGCTTAGCTGGCTGCGATCCCCGCTCCGTGGAGGCCGCCTGGTCTGACCTGATCTGAGTCACCTGATCTGTCCCAGAGCTGGGATTGGGGACCCATCAGAGTGCCTCTGGGGCTTCATCTACACACCAACGTCCACACCTCCAGGAGCCTCATCTCAGAAACCCAGTAACTTTCGGCAGGGACCTGCCCTGAAGGGAGGGCCTCCTGGTGTAGCCTCCTGCCCATGTCCCCTCCTGCCTGCCTAGGAGCCCACAGAGACGGGTGGACTGCCATCTTGCAGATGCTTTAGGTGTTGTGGGGACAGATCTGAGGCTCTGGCTGAGCTCTGGCTGCACAGGAACACAGAGCTGGGTCCCTGACCTCTGTCCTGGCCGCAGCTGGGCCCCACGTCCCTTCAGAGACCCCTACAGCTCTGCACAGGGTGTAGCATCCCTCAATTTGATTGGGCCCTGGCTCACCCTGTGCGCCCAGTGCTTCAGCCACTGCTGAATATGGAGGAAGCCCAGGTGTATAGGCATGTGCCTGTGTATGTGACCTATGTGTACATGTACATGCATGTGTGTATGTGGGTATGTGTGATACACACTGCACATACATCTCATGCATACACAAAGTACAGTGCAGGTGTGTCTGGTGTGTGTACAGGTGCATGCAGACATGCATGTGTACATATATGCCACACACAGGGACATGTGTTTGTACCCACATGTATACACACAAGGCCATGGACATGTGTATAGCTACATGGCACAAACACACCTGGTGTGCACAGACATGTACACAAAAATACAGTGTGCAGACCTCACAGTATAAGTGCACATGCACATGTGTTTGTCATATGAGTGTTTGCATGCCTGACGTGTGTGTGGCCAGAAGAGGGAGGAGGGGTAGATCCCTCTGGCCTGGAAAATCTGAGTGGCTCAAGAAATAAACCTCTTGGATTGTATAAAGGTCATGCTGTGCTTTTCACAGTTCTAGGGAAGGTGTGAGGTGCTACCTGTGAATTTTAAATTGGGCCAAATGGAGACTGGCAGTGTCCTGGGCTCGGCAATCAGGGGCTGCCAGGTTCTCCATCCTGTTCCCACTGTGTCGGGAGGCACCAGCCCCTCCCTGTCTGAGGGAGGGGCCAGCACCATGCCCAGCCCCCCACACCCTCGCCTCACTGTATGGAGTCTTCCCTGTGTGCTTTGCTTCCCAGGACGCTCCCCCACCAGGGAGCTGAGACTTACGCCTCTGCCTCAGCACACACCTGCCCCACAGTATCTTTTGGGAAGCTTTCAATAGCCTGTAACAGAAAACCCAACCCAAGCTGGCTTACCCATGAAGGGATTGGATTGGCTCGTGTAAATGGAACTTCGGAAGTTTGTGGGTTTCAGGCGAAGTTTGACCTGGGCTGCAACTCTGCTTGTCTGTGAATCTCCTTGCTTTTTCTCATCCTCAGGCATTGACTTTGTCTTCCTGGTGGCTCTCTCCATGGAGCAGGATGATTCCGCATCCTCAGACCTCACCTGTACCCCACACAGTCCCTGCTCATCATGCATCTGATACCTCAAGGCCAAAGTGACTGCCTGAGCTCCAGCTGTCACATCAGCCTTCAACCCAGCAAGAAGAAAGATCTGCCCTATTCTTTATGGGCACCTCCCAGAAGCTGCACACATTACTTCCAACAAATCCGTTGGTGAGACCTTACACCCATCTGCAAGGCAGGCTGAGAAGTGAGTCTGTATTCTGGCAGCTATTCACTCAGCTCAACACCCAGTGGGCCTCAGGCAGGTGGCACAGACACTGCTTATGAGGTGGTGGGCCAGTCCCCACATGGGGCCCTCCCTCAGGACTCAGCACCCACAGGCCAGCAGAGCTGTACCCTGCTCGGGGACCAGTGACAGGATGGGGATGACTCAGACACTGCCCTCCCCTTGGTCATCCCCAGACTGGTAGGGAGACAAGCCCTGGACCCAGGGCAGGGGCAGTGAGGGACACAAGAGCTGGCCAGACAGATGCCCAGGAAGGACTTCTTCAGACACTCTGGGCAGGGAGGAGGCAGGTAGGGTGACACAACCCCTATGGCTGGGCATGGGGCAGACTTCCCGGTGGCCACACTGCATTGGCAGCCCACTGGGGGCCTGTCCAAATGAAGAAACTGCTGGCCTGCCATGGACGGGGAGGAGCAGGCACAGTGTGTCGGGCAGTGCAGGGCCCTTGGCGCCTGGGCCTGTGTGGTTTCCAAGGCTGGGAATGGCCACGTGCCCTAGAGAGGGCAGAGCCTCCCGGCCTCCCTGCCCAGTGAGTGCCAAGTGGCCTGCCCTGTGCCAGTGCTGCCTGCCTCCTGCCCTCCTCACCTTCCCCCAGGTCCCGCGGACCCGGTCATGTGACTGATGAACAAGCCCCCTCCTGCGGCCAGAGGGGTTTTAGCACAACCCGGATTGATCGCCTGGGAATAGCTGGCAGACAGGCTCCTGAGGCCCTAGACCCACCCCAGACGCCTGAGGGTGCAAAGCCTCCATCCTGTTGCCCCATGTTCGGCACCCTGCGGAGGCCTGGGAAAATTCTGCACCGCTTCCAGCTTATGTCTGGTCCCCCGCCCAGGCTCTATGATGCTCTTTGATGGTGGGACAGAGTTGGTGCAGGTCTGACGGAAGAGCAAGGTGGAAGCAGCGGAGAGACAGCTGTGTGCCGGGAGGCGTGGCCACTGGCTTCAGGCGGTCCTGGGTTGAAATCCCAGCCCCTCCTGCACCTGCTGTTGCCCTCTGGCTGGGCCTCTGGTGCCTCACTTGCAGAGTGGGGTGAATGTCTCCACCTCTAGGGTGTGGCGTGTGCAGTAACTGGTGGAGACCAGCGCACAGTAGGTGCCCAATACACACCAGTCTCCTTTATTTCCTTTGGAGAGCAGCCAGTCTAATGGGCAGAGGGTGCCCTTGCCCTTGGAGAGCCAGATGGGGGGAGATGGCAAGGTGGGAGCAGGAGATGCAACAGGTGCAAATGTTGGAGGGAAGGGGGCTGTGCTCAGGCCCACGAGCACAGGCTGCCCTGTCCTCACACAGCCCCTGGAGCCCCATAGGGCACAGCTGCCCTGCCCCAGACATGCCCACCAGGAATGCTCCTCCAGCCCAGCCTTCCCTGGGGCTAAGCCCCTCACCCTAGAAAATCAGAAATAATTAAAATGTGGGTCTCTATGAATTCTAGCATATTTTTTTATTTGCTTTTCCATCACTGCAATCAGGACACAAAATTGTCTCATCATCCCCAAACTCTTCTTTGCCAGCCACGAATCACAACCTTGGGCTGGGTAAGGCAAGGGCAGCACCTGTGGCTGCCGAGAGGGTTCCTGGCAGGAAGGCCATGGTAGCAAAGGCAGGAAGGAGAAAGGCCATTGGTGCGAAGCCGTGGAGCCTTTGGTGGCCAAAAGGGCTGCAGCCTCCAAGAAGCCAGCAGAAAAGACGCCTGCCACCGAAGGAAAGGAGCCTGCTGTTTAAACCTAAATGTGCTTATTCCACAAAGATCGGCTGAGTTTGAGTAAAGACCTGATCAGAGAGGCAGCAAGAAAGAAAGGTGTCGGTCATCACACGGTCCCTGACCTCAAGTTCCTGGCCATCCTGTATCACTACAGTCTTGTCCTTTGGAGGGCGTCCTGTCCATGGGCCCATACAGCCCCGGCCTTCAGAGGCTGGCTTCTTTTACTCGGCACAATGCCATTGAGACCTGTCTGAACTGCTGCATGTATGAAAAGTTTATTTTTCCTGCTGGCACTGTTCCACGCATGGCTGTACCCCAGTTCACTTAATCATCGTCCCCTAAAGGACACTGGGTAGTTTCCAGTTTAGGGCTACTGTAAACGAAGGTGCCATGAGCATTCAACTAAAGGTCTCGGGAGTTTGTGTTTCACTTGGGTGAACCTAAGTGGGGTGGATGCCCACTTAGCAGCGTCCTCTGGGGCCCAAGGGGCGTGTATGTCTCCTGTTTTCCAGAGTACCCACCCCATTCTGCACTCCAGCCCACAGCGTATGAGAGCCCCCGTTGCCCACAGTCCCACCGCACCTGGTCTAACCCCTATGTTGTATCTGAGCCGTTCTCACAGGGCTGACATGGTATCTCATCATGGTGTGAATCTGTGTTTCCCTGATGACTAGTGGTGTTGAACATCTTTCCATGCACTTATTTATCATCCAAATACCCTCTTCAGTGAAGTGTCTGTTCAAGCATTTGTACTTTTTAAAAAATTTTTATTTTGAAACAATGATAGGCTCATGAGAAGTTGTGGAGTCAGCACAGAAAGTTCTCTTTAGTTTTCCTCCACTTGGGAACATCTTACTTTGCTTTCCTTCCTGAAGGCTATTTTCACTGGATGCAGAATTCTGTCCTTTTCTTTCAGCAATTGGAAAACACTATTCCACTTCCATCTGGCCTCCAGGGTTTCTGATGAGACATTCAAAGTCAGTTGGATAATTTCCCCCTTCTAAATAACTCGGAATTTTTTCATCTACTTTCAAGCATTTATTCTTTGTCTTTAGGTTTTAGCAGTTTGATTCCAATGTGTCTGAGAATGAATTTCTTGGTTTCACACTGAATCTGTAGGTTTGTGTATTTTACTGAATTGGAGGAAATTTCAGTCATTCTTTCCCCAAATATCTTTTTCTGCATCATACTCTTTCTCCTTCTGGGACCCTCGTTCATGAATGTTAGATCTCCAGATAGTAACCCACCGGTCCCTGAGACTCTGATTTTCTTTGACTCTTTCCTACCCTCCTGTTCATACTGGACTCTTTCTACTGATCCAGGTTTATGTTCCCTGGCTATTTCTTCTGTCATCTCCGTTCTGCTATAGTGGGAGTTGTACCGTGAGTATTTTTATTTTGGTTATGTATTTTTCAGATCTAATGTTTCCACTTTCTTCTTATTTACATCTTCTCACCCTTTTTTTTTTTTCTGAGACTTTCTATATTTCTGTTTGTTTCAAGAGTATTTGCCTTTACTTATTGGAACGTTTTTATAATAACTGCACAGCCTGGGCAGTTTGGGAGGGACGCTGAGGGGCTGAGCCCCTCCAGGAGAGGAGCCCTGTGCATTGGGGTCCTGACATCAGCAAGGTCCTGGGTACCCACCCCCTCTGCTGTGTGAGGGCTGGGAGTGCACACCTGTGCTGGGGTTTTGTGGGCACCCAGGATGCTGGAGAGGACAAACGGACAAATGCTGAAGGCCCCAGGCTGCCTGTGTCCTTGAGGGGCCCAGCAGGGCAGTGGCTGGGTGTGCCTAGGGAGTGAGGTCAAAGGTCAAAGAGGGCACTGGAAGACCTGGAGTGTGAGCCCAGCCGGGGGGTTGGGGTAGGGTGAGCACATAGGCAGTGCATCACGGGGTGCCCAGTGGGCCCTGAGATGCCTCCCCTTGAAAGGAATGGCTTTGAATTCTAGGGGTAGTGTGGGTGGATGTCGGGAGGCAGAAGCCTGGGACCCTGGGGACTGTCCTGCAGAGCCCTGGGCGTTTTCAGATCTGCCAGGAAGGCTTCAGACTGTTTTCCAGGGCCACTGGGAAGACAGCAGCCCAACCTCCCAGGAGACCCTTCTAAGGCCAGGGTGGCACTGAGGGTGAGACCCAGAATGCCCAGGGGGATTGGTGGTGGGTGGTCTGCCGAGAGCTCCCACACCATCAAGACGGAGACCCAGGGAGGCCTCAGGGGCTCTGGAAAGGCAGGCGAGGTGAGCCCCACAGGGAAGGCGGGGACCAGGCTAGGAGAGCTGAGGGCCTGAGTACAGTTCCTCTCTGCCTCTGAGTTCTGCCTGGGGTCTGGCCTTGAGCCAGTACGGTGTCCTGGGGCTGCCCCAGCAGGCAGAGCCTGAGCAGCGCCCTCTCCCGGCCCCGCCCGGAGTCCTGCTGTCTCTGCTGTCCCAGCTCCTGCCCTTGGACCTGCCCCCGTGCCCGCCCCGCCCTCTCACCCGTTAACTCCAAGGGGGCCCACCCTCTTTCACCCCCTCACAGCACCTCTCTCACCTCCCAGGTGTGGCCACACTGCTCAGAGCTGTGGGCACACCTCTGCACGATCGTGGCAGGCTGTGCTTCCCACACCAGCCCCCCTGCTGGAGCCCCTGCTCTGCCCTGCAGGGAGAGCCCTGAGGGCTGGCAGTGCCCACAGCATCTTGCCTGGGCCCTCAGCAGACGGAGCCAGGGCAGGTCCCAGCACTGACACAGCAGGAGGGTCTGTCCCTCTGTCACGGCAGTTAGTCACCTACCCTCTAGGAGCCTTGGCCCCCGTCTCTAGAAGGAGGGGGTCTGATTCCCACTCCATGGACAGCAAGCTCCAGAAGGCCACCTGGTGGTGCAGCTCCTACCCCTGCTGGGGCACGCTGGGCTGAGGGAGGGCATGGTGCCCACGTAGGGTCCACGGTGGGGGATGTCAGGGTCAGCTGGCCAGGAACCCTGGTTTCTGCCAACAGAGTGGTATCTGGTGTTGGTCAGCCCCTTAGGGGGCTGGGTGCCAGGCACAGTGTAGGGTGAGGGGCCTTCAGTGGGTGGTGACACAGACAGGAGGCCCCCATGGTAGGCTGATGTGGTGGGGCGGTGTGCTCCCCAAACAATGTCCCGGCCGGGCCCTGCTCCTGGCCCCCCCACCGGCTCTGCCCTACACTGACCCAGTTGCTCTTGACCTCTTGCTCCCCACAGGGAGGGAGGGGCCAACCCTGGAAATCCCACTGTCCTTCCTGCAGAGCCTAGGCAGGCCACCCAGGCCTCTGGGGGCTCCTCCCTGACCCTCCCCTGGGGACGCATGCCCCCTCACTGCTTCCTGGGGCCGGGACTGGTGGGCCATGATGGTCAGAAATGACCTCCCAGGATACAGCAGCTCGTTTCCCAGATTCCTTGTAGCTCACAGCCCTGAGCTGTGTCTAGCGCTCACAATGTAGCAGGCAGCCTTTGGTTTCCCAAACTGCCCTGCTTACAAGGCACCTCCCAGCTCACAGAGCTTCTCACAGCCAAGCCAGATGGAGCCCTTGACTCAGAGGGGAAGAAAACCCAGCTCAGGCATGTTCCAGCAGAAAGGAATCGGCCCCCATAAATTGCTGGCAGTTCCTGCTTCAGGTCTGGGTGAATCCAGGAGCTCGCATGGTGTTGGAAGTGCCCCATCTCGCTCCTCAGCTCTGAGCTCTCAGACAAGCTCCTGTCTGTGGTACAAAAGCTGGTGCCCTGGGGCCACTGAGGTAGTAGCCACAGCAGAAAAGAGGAAGAAAAGGACAGGTAGCAGCAGGATGGGATCCCCCAGGAAAGGGACTGGCTGGGAGGAGACTGAAATGCCTGCTGGAAATGCCCCGGGGGAAGGTGCCAGGAACAGCTCTGGAGAGGGAGCAGGGCTGGGTGGAGGGAGAGCCTGCTCAGCGTGCCCCTCTCCTGCTGCCCCTGCCAGCCCACGGGAGCTGGAGTGGCCCTGCAGAGCTGCCCCTTCTCAGCAAGGGGTTCCAGGCCTCTGCAGCACATGTCAACCCATTCTGGGGTGTGGGCTACCCTGTGGGTGGCACAGGAGCTCCATTTTGCCAGGGCCAGTCCCACAGAGGGAGCTGGCAGGGGGCGGGGTGCCTTGGTGTCTTGCGAATGGGTTTCAGTCCCGAGCAAGTTCGCTATGGATTCAGTGTGACTGAAGAAATTAACAGCAAAACATTCTTGGGGTGAAAGGGTTCATTACCCGGCTTGTTCTCCGGCGGCAGGTCAGGCACTAGCGTCTCTGCCTCCACCCAGAGGCCTGGGCCGAGCTCACTGTATAGAGCAATAATAGCTTATTGCCTACGGGTGTGGAGGCGGCAGCCCAGCAACAGGCCAGTTTACATCATCAGGTGGTTTAAGTTCAGGGAGGATCCTGGCCATAGGAGCCCCAACTTCCCCACACTCAGCCTGAAGCGGAATCTGGGGGTGTCCCCGGAAGCCACTGCAGACCACAGGTGGTGTGGGGAGGGGGACAGGCTTGGCAGCAAAGCCCCCACTCCAGAGCCTTGCTCACACCCTGCAGGCCGCTCGCAGGTGGGGACGTGCTGCTCACCACTCACCTGGCTCCTCCTGAATGCTCGGATTTACGTGGGGTTGACTGTCAGCAGCTGAGCTCAAAGCAAAACTAGATGATGGGACATAGCTGGGGAGGAGGCCGGACTCTCTGTGGGACAGGGGTGGGAGGCCCAGACAGGGAGGGTCGGCAAGGCTCCCACCCCCTGCGCAGCACTGCCTGGGCATGCAGGGCGGTGGGGGGCAGGAGGGGACAGATCCAGACTGTGGGATGCCTGATGGGGACACACCCAAATCCACACAGGTTCCCACACGGGGCCTGAGCCCTGGTCCGGCAGGGGGTCAGGACTACAGGAGACCTCCCAGCCCTGGGCCCAGGCTAAGCCCCTGCCTCAGTGGACATCCACTGGCCTTTGTCCCAGGGAGGCCTGGGTAGGGGTTGTGAGGACCCTGTTTCTAGCTGGGCATGTGGCTCTGCTGACACCCATCAACAGGCCTGCATGTTGTCCTGGGCTCACTTCTGCTGCCTCCTGTCTGTCCCCTGGCCGTGACTCCTGGTAGGAGGGTAGAGACTGCACTGCCCTGCGCTCTGTGGTCACTCCCACGACTCCCTTCCCTTGGTTTTTTCCCCCTCAAGCCCTGTAAATACAGCAGCCATCACCCAACACAGGCAATATGCCCAAGGCCTCCCAGCCCTGCGCTGGCCCAGGGTCACCGGGGGAGGCTGGTGAGCAGCGCACCCCCACGGCTAGGGCCAGGGCATGTCGGGGGCCCCAAGGACAGACTCCACCTCGCCTCCACACTTGGACCTTCAGCACCCCTCCTTCTTCTTGGTTATGGCAAAGTACAGATGGTGTATTTTCTTGTGCTGGAGCCTCTGCATCTGTTTTCCCATCGGAGAAATGGGGTGGGACCCAGGATGGAGGCGGAGTCATCTCCCTGCGCCTCTTGTGCCCTCCTGGAGGGGGCGGACCCATCGCTGGTTCCAGTCACGGCTCTCCCAAGCCCCTCTGTGAATGCTTGCTGACTGAGTGAAGGGATGGGTGGGCACAAGGGTAGATGGATGGATGGATGAACTGAAAAGGGAATGGCTTTAAAGTCTCAGTATGAGGGGGCTCAGTGGTAGAGGGCACAATGCCATTATGCTTTATCAGGGCATCTCCTGGCCCTCCACTCCAGGCAGCCCCACCTCATGAACCAGAAAGCCTTCCCATGTCTGTCATGGTGTGGATGGAGGATGGGCCCTGGAGCTCAGACCTTAGAGGGCCGGTGGGTGCTAAAACCCACAAGCAACATGCCTGGTGCTCCATGGGCCAACCTCTGCATATGTTATTTCCACATGGTCAGCCTTGAGTGCCCATTTCACTGGGGGCAAACTGGGGCCCATTGGGGTGGAGTGACTTGTTCAGGGTCACACAGCGAACGAAGAGTAAGAGCCTAGTTCGAACCAAGACAGAGCTCCTGGCACTTCTGGGAGTCAAACTGCAGGCATGCCCAGCGGCTGAGGCGAGCTTGCGTCCCTCAGCTGTGGCCATGATGGGGCTGGGGCTGCTGCTGTCCACCCTGGCATGAGGCCCCTCTGAGTGCCCAGGCTGTGTGAGGCGGGGAGGACCAAGGAGCAACAGGCCCCTAAGGAGAAGCCCCTGGCCATGACCGCCAACCTGCTTGCCCACCTGTTCTGCAAAGCCTGTAGCTCAGCCGAGGGGCAGGTATCAGAGAGGGAGAAGGGACAGCTAGGAATCTCCTTTGGAGAGGAAGGTGGGGGGCAGTGAGAACCCCAGAGGAGGGCACAGGCCATTGTGGGGAGGGCAGGACCCCCAGCCCCCAGGGCCTTCACCACAATCAGCTGAGGAGGGAAAAGCATGGACGGGGGTCAGGAGCTCAAGGTCTAGGCCCAGCTCTGTCCCACTGTTTGGCAAGCTTGACAGCAGCACGGGGGAGGGGGGGTACATTCTTGCTCTGGGCCTCAGTTTCCCCCAATAGTACAAATGATCTCCAAGAGCCCTTCAGCTCAGCCACTCTATCATTCACTACTCACTTATTCATTCATTCAACAAACACAGTGCAACGCAGCCATGTGCTAGCTGTTGCCAGCAAGTAGCTCACAGTGTGGGCAGGGCGGGGATCAGACCTGGCTGAGTGCAGAGAAAGGTGAGCGCCGGCTGGGGAGCTAGAGGAGGCAGCTGGGGCAGGGGCAAGGGGGTGGGGAGGACATCTTGAAGGATGGGGACGCTACCTGCGAGGCAGAGGGACTGGAGGCAGAGGTGAGGGGGCATCTGGAGAGATGGTGGCTGTGGGCATGGGGCAGCACCCTGATGGGCCTGGAATGCCAGGCAAGGTGCTCAGATGTGGTCCTGCTGTGATGGGAGGCCTGCAAAGGGCCTCCAGCAGTGGCTCTACCTCCCCAGATCAGACCAGGTGGATAAGCCAAGGAGAACAGGGGCTCTCCCCAACCACCCCGACGGCCCCTGCTTCTCATCAGCACCCAGGCAGCGGGCCTCTCCGTGTCTTCCACCGACACAGAGCACATGGTGGTGAGGCCTGGCAGCTTGTGGGAGGGACGCCCTGGAAGCACAGTGCTGTCGTTTTGCACAAGGCCACTCGCTGATGTCACCATCAAGCATCAGCATCTCATCACCGAGTTTCCTATGTGCTTTAGTGGGGGAGGTTTTGGGTTCTGAGGGTGGGGGTGGAGGGTGGCACAATGAAGTTTCTTCTTGACTGTGAGTGTGAGAAAGTGTGGGACTGTATGTGAGTGTGTGCAGGGAAAGGAGTGGGGGGCAGGGTGGTGGGGGCCGGGGCAAACCTCTGTATGCTATGGGCTGAACAGGAGTTTGGGCAGAAAGTGACATAGGAGCGGGATGTGGATACCTTCTTCTGCAGCCCTGTTAGATTCATACTGTTTCTGCCTGACAAACTTCTACTCATCCTTCAGCACCCAGCCCAGATGACCGTTTTCTGGGAAACATTTCCAACATCCCAGGAGTAATGTTCTGCTTCCTCATACAACCTTCTAACAATAGTTAGGCAGCTCTTTGAGCCTGTCTGTCCCCTTCTGCGCCCCAGAGATACCCTGAGGGCAGCACCCACATGTTGTCGGTGCTGGTGCCCGGCATCTGTCTACAACATCAGTCACAAATCAGACATACCAGGAGCTCACATGTGCCCAGGCATCCAGACAGCCAGGACCTGGGCTGAGGGCCACCAGAGGCTTCCCTGGCATTGACCCACTCAGACCTTATGCCAACTCCACAGAGCCAGGAACATTATGATCTGTGCCACACAGATGAGAAAGCTGAGGCAGAGGGCAAGTGTCTGAGGTGTTGGGCCACCTGGCAGGCCTGTGGCAGAACTAGGGGTCAGGCCAAATGCCCTGTGGAGGACACTGCAAGGTTGGTGGGGAGTAGGGGCTGCTGATGGGCTGGCCCATGGGATGGCTGCACAGCGGGAGGGAGCGGAGGGGAGGGGAGGGGGATGGAGCCTGTCTGCCCCCCAGAGGGAATCTCCTCACCGGAAGAACAAAGGGCTGCTTGCAGGGCACCGTGGAGGAAACCTAAGTGGGCCACAGGCAGGAGCTGAGTTAACGCGGGTAGGAGGAACCGCCGCTGGGGCGCTGGCTCAGCTCCTCACTTGCAGGAAGCTCTGATGCCAGGTCCTTTGCCGCCCTGCCCTGCGGGGACCCACTGTGTTCCCCCAGAGGGGTCCAAAGCGGCTGTCACCCCCGCCCCCACCCCCACCCGGGCGTGAAGGCGCATCAGCAAGGTGGCGGGGTTGCTGCCATCCCCACGCCACGCGTTCACACCCCTACTCCTACTGCCCTCCCCACTGACGTTCAAGCTTCTTGCTCTCCTGCTGCGCCTGCACGAGGCCTCTCCCTGAGCCCTTGGGGCTGGTGCAGCCCCTTCTCCCCAGACCCTCAGTGCCTCCTGGCCGCTCCCTGTAGCCCAACCTTCATCACTCCCCATGAGAAAGCGACTTGCCTGGGTCCCCGCACCTGTGGCTTGGTCAAGATGGCTGCGCTCCTGTGTCCAGCAGACAGGGCGGGATGCACAGAAGGACAGCAGGGCAGGCTGGGGGTCGCTGGAAGAGGCGCCCATGGCCGCTGCTCCCAGTCTGGGACCAGCCATGGGGCAACAATCTGCGGGGGGGGGGAGGACTGCGGCTGCATCCAGTGGGACAGAACGGGTATCTGCGAGTTCTGGCTGCCAGGGTCCCTCTCCCGGTCTCCCCCTGCTTATCTTCCCATGCTTGCTCACCACAGAGTGGGGCAGGCTGCCTGGGCGGCCAGCAAGGGGCAGAGCAGGTGTGCACCCCACCCGCTCGCCCCCGTGGCAGGCTGGGTGTGCCGGACCCAGCGTGACTGCCCAGGCAGTGTGCGCGTGAAAGCCTAATTGGCAGGCCCTGACTGTGAGTTATGGGGGTGTGGGCGGAACCCTGTCCAAAGTTCATACAGCTCATCTGTGACCCTGTGGGCCACGATTTTATACCGGTATGTGCTGAGAGTGCTCGTGGCTGATACGGGGGCAGAGTCCTGGCCTCAATGGCAGAGACAGATCTGGGGCCCAGCACAGCCAGAGGCTCATAGCAGACCTGTGTGTGTCCCTCCCTGCCTGGGCCAGGTTTCCCACCTGTAGGATGAGGGCGCTGAAGAGTTGGCATTAGTGGCTAGGCTTCTGGGGTCAGCTGTGGCTGGAGATGTCAGGTGTTTCCACAGGGGAGGCTCTTACGGCCCCATGTGGCTCCTCGTCCCCCTGTAGGGTACTCACAGCTCACCTGCCAGAAATGTTTCGAGACTTCCCTGGGCCAGGCCTCCTCATTAAGGGGGACTTCCCTGACCCCCAGGCCTCTTTGGGTTCCCCACACCCCTGTTCTGCCCATGCACAGCCTCTACTCAGGGTCCCAGGGCACATCTGTGTGATGCGTGGCCTGTCTGCTGGGCTGTGAACACTGGGCTGTGTCCTGATGCAGGACTACCAGGTGAGCCTCATCTTCCTTTTCTTGCTGTGTACAAGAGCCAGGTGGCAGCTGGGCACACAGAACCCGGGAGGATGGCATTTGACTCCCTGGCAGCTAGAAGTACCCAAAGGACCCAGTTCTGGCCAGGAGAGGGGTTTAAGCAGATATGTGTGCAAAACCTATCCTTAAAAGTGCAGGGCTGGGGAGGAATGCAAGCCTGTATACCTCTGCACTGTCTGGTTCTTCCTGCTGGTTCGAAAGCAGACACGATGGCTGGAGCTCACACAGCTATCTTGTGCCGAAGCAGACAGCCCATCTGAGGATCAGAGGAGCGACTGGATTACAGGAGGTTGGGATCCTGATGATTGTGAGGTCACCTTCCCAGCCTTATTGCCTATCTGGACTTAAAATGTGACATTAAAAGTAGACACTGATCTTGTTTATGCCACTGTTACAGGGTTTTCTGTTATTAGCAGCAAAATCTAATCGTATGGACTCCCCAGGGCCTAGCTCACTGCCTGACATTAGAAATAAAGCCTGTTAAATGAATAAGTGATGGTGAACAGCAGGAGATAAGATTTGGCAGGAGAGGAGAGGGGACACTGTGCTGGGCAGCAAGCCTGGGCGGTGGCTGCGGAGCCCAGACTGCTCCTGGGATGCGGAGATACCCCCACCCAGGGGTGGAGGAGGAGCAGACCCCACCGCGCTCGGGAGGGGTGGCAGACTCATCCTTCGCTGGGGATGCAAAGATAACATTCAAACCTCCCATCCTGCTGTCACGGATTTCCTTTTGCTTTTTTTTTTTTTTACCACTCCTGCTTGGCGTTAAATACCTTGGGAGGCTATTACAGGTCTCACACTGGAGTTGATTTTCCAAGTGCCTGGTGGTGCAACATGACTGGTCTTGAACAGTTGGGAGTGAGGCCCTTGCCTTGGTCAGACCCGCTCCCCTACCCCATCCTGTCATGTGTGGGGCCTGTGCCAGCCCCTTCCAGCACACGCTCTTGCCTGACATGACCCCTGTATGGGGGAGTAGACTGCCCCAGGCCCAGGGATCTGCCAGCCCTTCACCACACCTGTGCTCAGATAGGCCTCGCAGGCACCCCACGGCCCCATCACCTCTCACATGGGCACTCAGGAAACTCCCAGAGAAGGTGTGTTGCTGCCCCATGTCACACAGCAGAACAGGGGCAGGTTTGGTGATAGAACAAAGCCCATGCCACATACGGCACACCATGTGAAAAATAAGCCCCCCTAAGTACAGATCACGTGCTCATTCACATACTTGTCAGCACTCCCTGAGGCCACACCACTGCCAGGCACTCTGCAGAGTGCAAATATGCCCCTCCTCCAGTGGGCGGGCATATACCTGAAGGATGACGTCTGCCCTGATGTGCACAGTGGCTTTATCTGCCAGGAATGGAGTCAACAGCAGAGTGATGGAAGCAGGGGCTTGTTTCCCCTGTGACAACAAGTCTGGGGGTGCAGCTGGGGCAGAGTCTCCCTGTCCTCAGCTTGGGACCTGTCCCCTTGCCCCTCCAAATGGCTGCTGTCCTCTGCACATGATGCCACATTCCCAACTGGAACCCAGAGAAAGCAGGACAGTACATCTGCCCTCCCAAAAGGGCCTGACCACCACACATGCTGTCTGCCCCAGCCAGGTGTAGCTTCCGGGAGGCTAGGCACACTGCTGCCTTGAATGAAAGTGGGATTCTGTTGGTAAAAGACAAAGGGGGACTGGGCCACAGTGATGTCCTAGGCTTGCAGGATTTGATGCATGGGGGAGTCAGTGATGGGCGCTCGAGGGCTTCGGGGAGCAGCGTGGATGGCAAACCCCTTCTAGGCAGGGCCTGGGGGTGGTCGCAGATGGTCTCCTAGAGAAGCTGACATAGGAGCCAGGCTTCAGGGCACAGAGAGGAAGGGTGGGAGGGAGGGAAACTCACTGCAGATCCCTCTTCCTCCCCTACTGACACCGTTTGACCCAGAGCCCCTGGAAAACCACTGAAAAGCCCACATTGCTCGTCATGTTAGAGCGAGCATTTGGGGGTTGGTACTGCATGAAGGCTCCTTCTGAAGCCCCTCAAAACACCCCTAAGCGGTTGCCCCTGTCCCTACCTAGCGCTTAAAGGGCAAGATCTAAGCTGGAGGCTTGTCAGCTAAGGACAAGCCAACCTCTGTCCCTCAGGGAAGAGCCTGCCCTGCAGGAGCCAGTGCTCGCCACTCCCCTTGGCCACAGAGATCAGCCCAAGGATGGACAATCCAGGGCGCCCACAGCAGCCAGCTCTCAGACAGGCGCTGTCTTGGAGACGTCTCCCCTGAAGACACTGCACTGTGTGTGGTCAGGGATAGGGATAGGGAACTTGCTTCCCTTGTGCTCCAGCTGTCCTGGGGGCAGGGTGAGAAGCCTTGTCCATATCCTGGCTCACCTGTGAAATGGGCACAGGCCACCTGCTCCAGGGCCATGGTGAGACTCAGTACACAGGGGGGTCAAGAGCCTGGGCCAGCCCTGGCACAGGCTGATCTGAGAAAATGCACGCTGGCCCACTGGTGTCTCCTCTTCCTTCTGTCCATGTGCATGTGTGCATGCATGTGTGCACACATACACGTGCCACATGCTCTCATCCAAGCATACATACAAGCACTCATGTCCATGTGCACACACACACATGTATGTACTGAGTTCACACGTTTTGTGTGTTGTGCACATCTTTGCCGTGTCCATTTGCACCCTCTTGCACTCACATGGTGTCCCTCAGCGACACCCAAATCTCATGCACACCCACACACACATTTGCACACGCACTTAAGATCTCATGATGTTATAAGTATCAGGAACCAGGGCCTATTTTGGGAAGTCCTGGCTGGCTGGAGGCTGCCCCTGTTGATCCCTCCATGGAAATGCCCTAGCGTGATGACAACCCGATACATCCCTCCAGGTGCTGCTCAAAGCCAGCCCCCTTCTGGAGCCGGGCGACCTAGAGCCACCAGTAGTCATTCGGTGCCTTTAACAGGGGGACAGTAATGGCGTGGTGACGCGGGTCAGGAGGACCCACATTATCAGCGTGGACCACTCTCCCGCCCCAGGCGTGGCTCTTAGTTCAGCTGTGGGTAAATGAGCTCAGGGGGATGACCGTGCCGGCCCAAGGGCACTCAGGCACCGGCCCCAGGAGCGTGCCCGGTTCCAGGCCCCTCCTCCAGGGGCCACCTGGAGGGCGAGGGTGGCTGTCGTCGGAGAGGAGGGTGCGACCCGGGACGAAGGCCTTCAGCTCTCGTGGGCCTGCGTCCCCGCGCGGGGCACGGCCGCGGACGTCCAGCCATGCCCGAGGCCTGGCCACGCCGTCCGCCTTCTCCCCAGCGTAAGCCCCGCAACGTCCCCGCCAGCGCCAGGCTCCCTTCGCACCCCTTCAGATCCGGAGGGCCGAAGGGGACCGCTCCTAAAGCGCACGCCTCGTCTAACTACACGGTCACCGGCACCCCTGTTCTACGGATGGGGAGACTGAGGCTCGGGGTGACAGGGCCGGCGAAGCGGGAGAGCCTGGCAGGTCGGCACTGCATGCTCTCCCTTGGCTCTGCAATGGACTGAGCGCCCGCCGCTAGGAGACTTTCTGTCCCAGCCGGCCGCCGTCCCTGGCCTCTACCGGCTTACGCGCGAAGCAGTTTGGGACTTGTAGTCCGCGGTATGCCGTCTGCGATTCGGGCGGCAATTGGATGACACATGGCGCGGGGGCCGGACAGAAGGGGTACCTCACGGCGCTGCCCGGCGGGAGCGGCCGTCACGTGTCGTTTGAGTGCAGGCTCCGCCCCCCGCACCGCCCCTCGCGCCGAGAGCGCACAGAGCGCGCCCGCGAGCCACTCAGGCGCAGGTGAGGCGGCGCGCGCGGCGGGTCGGGCTGGCGGGTCGGGCCGCGGGTTCCAGGCGGGCCGGGCCGGGAGGGCGCGCGGCCCGAGGACTGGGGCCGGGGGCTGGGATCGAACGGGGCCTCCGGGAGGGGCGGAGCGGCAGGGGCGGGGCCTGGAGAGGGGCGGGGCGGGGCCTCGAGTGGGGCCTTAGTCTAGGGGCGCCGTGTCCCTGCCCCTGGGGCGTCCGGTGCGGGGCAGTGGGGCGGTGAGCCCACCGAGGGCGCATGCGTCCAGCTCTCCGCTGCGGTCCCGAGCGCTCGCCTCCAGGCCCCCGCCCACTTGTGGGCGCCCGGACGGCTGTCAGCTGCGCGGCCAGGGCGCCCAACCGGAGCCCCAGGCTCTGCCTGGAGGCGCGCTGCCCGCCGTTCGGGGGCCCTGCTAGCCGTCCCCGCAGTCCCTCACCTGGCCCCCTTTCGCAACCCGGCCGCGGCTCGCTTTCCCGCCACCTCTCCCACTAGCCTTTCCTGGGCCACGCGTCTGCTTTCCGTTCCAACGCCTGTCCTGGCGCCGCCGCGTTGGCTTGGTTTCTGTTGTACCTCGTCCCGGTGAGGCAGGGATCGGCTGTTTCTGCTGCCTCCGTGGGGACAGAGCATTACGGGGAGACACGGATGAAGCCGGCCGGCATCTGAGGTTTTCTGGCCGCCAGATGGGCCTTTCACCGCTTCCTTCCATTCAGTAGTGCAGGTCCTCAGTGGGAAGCTGGAGCAGCAGGTGCCTGCCCAGCACAGCGCAGGGTCGGGAGCCCAGTCGTGATTGCAAATGGCCATGGGCGATCAGCAAATATGAGAAGGCTTCCTGGAGGAGGTGGGACTTGAACTGGGCCACCTCCACATCTCTCCTCTCTTGGCTTGGCTGCCCTGACTGTCCAAGCAACTGCCTTGGGCACTCCTCTGCAGGTGGGGTGGGTACCTAGGTACAAGAACTGCCGTCTGGGGGCTTGTCGGCTCCTGGGCAGAAGCCCTTAGGCTCCTTCACAGGCTCACAGCTGCCTGCAGGGTGACGGTGGGGATCTGGCTCCTGCCTGTCCCTGCAGCCACATTCTCCACGACTTGCTTCATGCGCACCAACAGTGCAGAAGTCCTTGCTGCACATCCCACGCCTCTCCCGGCCCCAGAGCGTGGGTGCCCGATCTTGGAATGCCCTTGTGCCCCTGATGTCTCCTTTGGAATCCTTTCTGTCCTCTGCCTCCCATGGGTTCACCCACATTTATGCCCAGGGCCCACAGCACCCCGTGCTCACCTTGTTTCTCTCACACATGCCTGAGAACCCCTCCCTCTTGGTCGCCCTCGTGTTTGAACACCTGGCCCAGGTCTAGAGCAGCATGGGCACCAAGCAGATTGTGATGAGCTAGTAGACTGGCCGTATAAGCTGGTGGAGAGGATGTGGCGAGAAATGCGGTTGTGGCTGCGTAGAGCCTAGAAGCAGGGAGATGGGGAGACTTGGCAAGCTGTGACCAGTGGTGTACTGGGCCATCAACCACAAGGACTGGGGGGCCCGAAGAAGGGGGCCTTCCTGGGACATGGAATTTGACCTGGGCAGGCAGCAGGGCGAGATCTGCTTGGCCAGAAAGGCTGGGTGGGCACATTCTGGGGGTGTTAGCACACATTGTACCTGCCCCACTCACCCAGCAATCCGGATGCCGGACTCTGTTCTCAGCGATTTACGTTCAGTGATTTTGCCCAGGTCCCTCAACCGTGAAGGTCCAAGCGGTCATTCAGCTCCAGACATACAATTGCTTCTGAGGTGCAGGGTGTTTCATTGCTCTCTCTGGTGTTTAGGATGGAGGGACAGCTCACTGAGACTTAGACTTTCTTACATGCCCAGGTGTATCCATGGCTACCCGGTTTGCTTCGCCTGTGTGTTTGCCGCAGTAGAACAGCCTGTGAGGCTCAGCCCGGCTGTAATTCATTACAGTCTGCAAAGGCCGCTCTCTGCAAAGCCAGTGGTGATGGACTTGCCAGCCCTCTGCGGGCGGGCCTCCCAGACTCGTCTGCTTTCTGCCATAGTGCCCAGCAATGTTTGCTGGATCTGTGAACGGGGGAGTGGGTGGCAAGCGAAAGAGAGGAAGCACGGGCAGAACACACGTGTGAGTGGGCCTGTCCTGCCTCCCCTTTACCTCCTGTCAATTCTCCGTGCCCTTCTGTGCTCTGTTCTGAGCTTCCTCATCCCATGCGGTGCGGTGAGGCAGGTGTGGAGGTGGGCTGTTCCCATCTTTTAGGCGGCAGACTTGGGGCTCAGAGAAGGTGCCTGCACCCCAAACTAGGGCTCTGTGGCAGACACAGCAGCTGGCTTACACCGCCCTGGCGGCTCTCCCCACCCACTTGGGAGCCCTGTCTCTGGACACCCCACTGGGGCCTGGAATCGGTGGGCTCCCAGGAGCTGTTGAAGAAGTAAGGGGCTCACGACAGGGCCAGCCCAGACCCATGTTCCCCCTCCATCACGCTCCTGTTAGTGCTGCCCAGGAAGCCGAGGAACCTTCTGTAGGAAGGGAGTTATCCCAGTCTGTGTCCGTGGGAAGGCAAGACCCACCCACAAGCCAAGCCAGGTGACTTGCAGGTGCCTGAGCTGGCAGAGCTGACGGGGACAGTGATGCCTCCCAGGGCCCCTGGTCCAGAGTGCCCTGTCCACAGCCCACAGCTGTTCTTAGAAACCTATCAACAGCTGTGGCAGGTTTCCACGGCTTTGTGCCAGCTGTGGGATTGTTCCCATCTGCCTGGGCTTGCTGAGGGCCAGGACAGGTATGAAGTGAGGTGAGGTGAAGTGATCCCACGCTTGGCTTTAGATGCGCACCGCCCCGGATGAAGCCCTTCCCCCCGTAAGGCCTGCCCTGGCTTGGGTGGGTCCTGTTAGGACTTGAGCTGGCTTGGTGGGCTTAGGTACCATTGCAGGTAAGTGGGGTGGTCTGGCGGGGAGGGTGGCTGTCTGGATAGGGTCCTCGGTGGGATCCCTGACATGGTCCCTGTGGTCAGGGCTGCCCTCCGAGAAGTGGAGCGCTGTGTGAGGATATTCGTGAGCCCTTGCTCAGTGGCTCAGGTATGCTGGGGGCAGGATGGGGGCTGCTTTTGTGGGTAATTTAAAGTTACCCACTAATTAGTCAAGATACATAAGGGACAGATGTCACACCTGACAGTTTATCTGATGTTCACAAGCCTACATTGTTTTTCTAGGTTTTATGTTACAAATAAATGGCCTCATCAGGGAGGCCCGGTAAACCTCTGTTTCCTTTGACTGGATTGATGGAGGATTGCCTTACTTTCTGCCTCTGACTTCACCCAGGCAAGGATCAGGACCCAGCCGTGACCGAGTTAGCCTCCTGGCCTGGAGACAGGGATTCCGGGCCATGGACACAGCTGTGCAGCACCATAGCCAAAGGACGCGGCCTCGAGCCTGCCCCCAGGCCCTGCCCTTTCTGACCTGCAGCCACCTAGGCGGTGGCTCCAGCACTCCTGCAGACAGGGCCTCACAAGTGCAGCGCCTTTTGGAGACTTTGCTTAAGGAGGGCACAGAGGCGTTTCCCAAGGTAGGGGAGGGCCGGGGCGGCTGCTGGAGCCACCCCTCTCCTGGTGATCTGCAGGCGGCCTCTCCACTGCCCCCTGCTCCAGAGACCGTGCTTGGCCTGGACGGCGAGGCAGGGCCTGCTGCTGAGGTGGATCACTGAGAAGCAGGAGAGCTGACCTCATCACCGGCAAGTCACCATGGTTTACTGACTTCTGGTGTCTGCCAGGCTGGGTTCCTCATACTCCTCTTGCCAGGGAAGGCCCCAGGGCTGACTTACTTATTCAGAGTAGCAGGCTTGGAAGTGACCTGTCAGGCTTTGGTCCCAGTATTCCGGCTCCAGGGCCCAGTCCAGCTCAGCTGCCCTGCCGGGGTGGCATTCCACCCTGCAGCTTCTAGGGGAGGTCCGGGCCAGAAGACACTTGCACACAGAAAGATGCCCTGTGAGCCAGGGGACATCATTAGTAATGGTGACGGTGATGCCAACAGAGACCTGATCGTGGACTTCTCGCCCAGGCTGGGCTAGCACTGGAAGGAGAGCTCGGCGAGGAACTGAGGGCTGTGAGGAGTCTGTATGAAGGAGAGGAGAGCCTGGCATGGAGCCTGCATTCCTTCCCAGTAAGGCCAGGTGGAAGGTGGAGAGGAGCAGGCCCGCGGCTGGGTGGTGGCTGGCTTGTCCAGCCCTGGGGAAAGATGTCCATTCATCAAGCATTTTTGGGGGTTTGGGGCCAGGTGCTGTACTTGGACACCCATCTGCGCATGTCTGTCTTTGTCCTTCCGTCACCCAAGCCAGACCCTGGACTGGGCTGAGGGGTGCAGGCAGCCTGTAGTGGCTAGGAAGCTACGGGTGCAGGTACTGGGAAGGATCTGGGTGGGATGTCTGGGAAGCGGGGGGCAGGCACCCTGAGCGGTGGTGGGGTCATCAGGCATCAAGGCTGTGCTCAGGGAATTGGTTCTGGACAGAGCTGGTGAGGAGGAGGCGGGATGCAGCCCCACTGCCTCCCTCCCTGCCACCTTTGGCCTCCCTCCACCGGGACCCACAGTGCATGCTAGCCAAGTATTTGGAAGGGGCCGTGTTTTTAAACCAGCAGCCCGGAATCAATCTCCCCCACGTTCAAACAACACAACACACAGCCTCCTTCCTGGGCCTGGCTGCGCTCAGCACAGGCTGCCAGTGGCAGCTCTAATGAGCCGGATTCATTACGGAGGGCTGACCTCCTTCCCGGCTGCAGCACCCCCGGTGGAGGTGCTGACGAGCGTGGGAGGGCGGGCTGGGCGCCGAGGCAGGAACTGGACTCTTCAATTGCGGGGTTTCTGAACACGCCCGCGCCAGCCCCCTGGTTCACCCTGACCACCTGGCACTCCTGCCGAGGCAGAGCTCTGGCGGCCCCGCCCCCTGAAAATCCTTCCGGCGCCGCCCTCGCTGCGTCAGGCTCCCCCTTCCCTGGCGGTGCGGCCCCTTGCAGTGGACCGGGCCGCCCTCCCAGGCTCTGGTCCACCTGCTGGGCCGACTTCTCCCACCGTGTCAGCTGGCTGCCTCTGTGCCTGAAGCAGCCGGGTGCCAGCCCCACCTGCCCACCTCCTCTGGCCGTTCAAGGCGAGGCCGAGCACCGCCTTTTAGGAGCCCTGTGTACAGGCCTGCACCTGACCTGCCTGTCCTTCTGGAGGGTGGACGCAGGGAGGGCAGCCCACGTCCCGTGTGGCACCGCCTCCTCGCCTTGCAGTCCTGTGTTGGGGCGTCAGCTTCCTGTGACCTCCCCTGCGTTACCTGTGTCTTCTGTCTCTGTGGCCCCCGGACAGGTAGAACACGCAGTGGGCACTCAATAAACACTCATGGACTCATGGACACACAAGCCAGTGATGGAAAGAGCTGTTTCCCAGCCAGCATCCTTGTCTGCTGGGCCTCTGGTGCACCCGGGGCCACCCCCACATCTCCAGGCCGCAGGAAGCCCTGAGGGGCGCTAATGGCGTTGCTGGGCCAGCCCTCTGAGCAGGTGCTTCACTGGGGCTGCTGGTCTCAGAGCGCAAGGCAGACAACAGCTTGCAGAGGGTGGTGACCCGCCTGAGACTCACACCTGCCGGTGGAGGGGTTCCCCAGCGCCCTGCTGCTTCCCAGGGGGCCGGGTAGCCCTGAGCTGTGGGCAGACCTGCATTTGGCAGGCGGTGGCGTGTGGGGAGAGCTGCAGGGGCGCCAGGAGCATCTCCACGGCTCCCAGCTGAGGGGCGTGGTGGTCTTAGTGCTACTGATCAGAGCAGGTGTTGGGGGAGTTGTTTCCTCTTACACGGCAAGGCCACAGAGCAGCCCCCGAGCAGAGCTGGGAGAACAGGGTCCGTGTGTCCCCACCGCCCCTGCAGCGGTATGGACCCTGGCTTGCGGAGAGCTGCCAGTCAAGTGAGCTTGAGAGTGCACCTCAGGACTGGAGGAGCCCTAGTCACCCCTTGTGTGCACCCCTTACCTTTACCCAGAGCAGCTCTCACCTCACGCATTCACCTGTGCTTTCTGAGGACTGTGTTTGGAGAAAGGGTTCTGTAGCTGGGAATAGTTTCAAAACTGGCCCAGCCTTCACGTTACCCCTGGGAAAGCAGCGGTCAGGGCTGCAGGGGTGCGGCCTTGCCCTGCATCCTTTGGGACAGGGTGGAGAACTGGCCACCTTTCTGTGCCTCTGCCCACTGGGAGGAGGGGTTTGGTGGCCGTGGAGAAGGGCCATAGGCAGCATGCAGGTTCTGTCCTATGGGGCAGGAGGGAAGCCAGGCAGCTGGGTGCAGGCACGGCTGTGGTTGGGTGGGTAGGAGGTCCTAGTGGTGTAGGGTAGGTCTGGCTGAGGTCACCAGCACCCCGCACATGTGGGTAGCCTGAAGGTACATGTTGCCAGGCTCAGTGTAGTCAGAGACCCAGGCTGATGACACAGCCACTGTCAGGGATGTGTGGTCTCCTGCCAGAGCAGAAGAGAGCTCTGGCGTCTTGTCCTGGGAACTG